TCTTCCATTCATATACATGATGATTTATGACATTTAATATTTTTGTATTTGTTTTCCCTGTTTTTTACCCAAAAACTATTGGAAATATCAACTTTGGATTTAAAGAGAGTGTTAATTGTGTAAGTAGAACTGTGATGATTTTCGGAAGAGCTACTGTTATTTTGATTTAAAGAAAGATTGAAGTGATTTATGAGTGTATTAACGTTAGCATTATTAAAAAAGGAACTTTAGCTGCTTCGGAAAATGCATTCCATTCTGCTCTATGTCTTAAAATAATTTCCTCTGTATTTCAAATTGTAAAAAGGTTTACTAAGTATTCCTATATTAAACCATCAATATCATTATTAAGTCTTTGTGAATACGGGGGTCAATTGGTAAACATTGCCTTAATTGTAAGTTTGTAAATCTTTATTCCCATTAACATATATGTAACTACTCAGCTCAAGTTTTTGGCCCACCTAAAACGTGCCACTACTTACTTAAACTTATATTTAAGCACGTATTTATCAACATTTTAATCAACTGAAAATAAAAGAAACATTTAAATAAACATAAATTAGTGAAATGAAAGAAACCACCTCCCAATTTAATAAAACAATCGAAATAATATAATAATAAAATATAAAAAAAAATTGCGTGTCTCTTATCAAATGGAAAGAATTTTCACTTCATTAAAATAAATGCAACCATGTTTTTTATTTTGTTTCGTTAAACCCCCTTTCATTTGTTGGCATTTTTTGTGTGTATTGTTAATTCTTTGCATTGTTTATAATTAAAGATCCATAGAATTTATATTCAGAAATCAAATTAATAATAAAGAACAAAACGTCAGAGAAAGAGAAACAGAACAAAAAAAAAAACAGAATATTTTTATTAAACAAAGAAAATATTGAAAATAATATGAGACAAAAGCCAAGAAACTAGAATAACTTGATTTTAATTTAGTAAAAAAAACCAAATCAATTCCTAAACAGAAATGTTAAAAAATAAAAAAAAAAAATCTAAAAGAAAACGTGGTATGGCGTTGATTTGTATTCGTATTGCCAGACTAAAACTAGTGGGACGTACTATAATTTATTTGTTTTTTTTTTTCGTTTTTTATGGTTGTAACAATTGACCAACAATAACAGAATTAAGAAAACAGTGTTGTCAACTTATGTATATGCTGTAAAAAACGCAAAATTGTTTAATTACTAAAAGATAATAAAAATTTCCAAGTTTATTTAAATATATTTTTTCTATAAACATAAAAATGTAATAGGGTATTGACTTTAAAAGTTGACCAACCCAAAAACACCAACTTTTTCTCATAAAAAGCTAAGTAGACATTACTTCTCCTCAAACCAATTATTATAACTATTGGCGTGTTTAACACTTTACATTCTTTGGTTCTTAAAAGCTATACAAAGATTACGTTTTCTTTCCCTTTTCGTACTATGTATACGCTGTTGTAAATAAATACAAAATTTATTTAGTCGATTCTTTTCAGGAACTCATGCTGTTTTTAGCCTCTGGTAAAAATAAAATTCAACAAATTTTTTTAAATGAATTAAAAACGTAATTTAGGTTTCAATAAAACAACAATAAAAACAATCTACTGTTTTTCTTTTAATATGTAGATTTCAAGCGATCTACTAAAACTAATTTTAAATACGCCAGTTCTACGTCACTGCAAGAGCTCAAAGAATTGGTTCATGAAATGTTTAGGTAGCCAATATGAACTCAGACGACCAGTTGGAATCTTCCAAAGGGAGTTGTTCAACAATGAAAATTTGAATAAAATTTGTTGAAAACTCCCTAAAACGGTAAAAACAAAAACACATGTGTGCGTAACTAACTGACGAACTGACTAACTAAACTAAGTAAATTAACTAAATATGGTTGGTTTAACTCGCTGCGTACATGATGTGTGTTTGGGTAAATAGCTTATACATATTACGTCAAGACCTTTAAGGGATTTTAAAATGGGTTTTTAGTTGCTGCTTTTTCTTTAGTTTTTGTTCAAAACTAAAAAAAGGGATTAAAAAACACTTGATAAAGGTTGAGTTAGGCCTGCGAACTTTAAGTGGATTGTCAGTTTTCACTTTCTTTATAAAAATAAAATATAGAACTAAAAACAACAAAAGGAAGAAGGACTAAATATCTGTGAGTATGTATGTGTAAGACTGTCAAAACTATTGCATAATGTAGGTACAACAAATGTTAAACTGGGTCTGCATGAAAGCGGTATCCTTTTCATAAAAGTCAATATGGTCGGTTATTTTAGTTTTGTATTTTTGTTTCCTAATTTAATGCCTGGGGTGATAATTGTCCCACAATTGTTAAAGAAGGATATTTTTCAGGAATATGTAAATATTCCTTAACAATATAAGTGAAATAATGTTATATTTACTTCTAAGGCAATAAGGATTTTCTTTATAAAGGCTTAAATTAAAAAATAATAATACTAATGATAATAAACAACTAAATTTAGTTTATTTTAGTTTGAAAAGAATTTTTTCATTTCAAATTCTGAGTTCGATATTCTTTCTTTATCATTTTCACATATGCCTAAAAGTATGCAACACTTACATGTTTAGTATCAAATTACAATAAAATTCTCAGAATATTCTCGAAAATTGCCGAATGTTACTACAAAATTGTGATTTTATTATCTTTTTTAAATTATTGTTGGCTAGAATAATAATTAATTTTGTCGAATACCTGATTACAAATAAATTATTTATTAGACATACATATGTATGTATCTTTGTAAAATTATAAGTACCTTTCTGTCATAAAAGCATCAAATATTTCATGTTCTTAGTATAGGCTTTCAACTAAATTGTTAAAATTTATAATTTTAATATTTGTTACAAAAATGAAACACTTACGAATAGTATTTAATGAAATGTTTGAAAATGGTTTCATGATTTCAAATTTATAAACTTTATAAATCAAATGAAACAAAAAAAAAAAAACTTCTATTTACTGCAGGGTCTCATTCTTTTCACATTTTTGTTGAAGTGGAACAGCGAAATCAAGGGAAAATGACACGCAAACATTTCATTTACTAGCATTTTTTGGCTTTTTGAACCTTGTTGTTTTTTTTTCGTTTAAAATGGCGTTTTAATACATTCATTTCATTTATTCATTCATATTTCATATTTTGTAACTAGAGAGTGTGTGTAAATGTGTCTTTTAAGTCAGTTTTCTTAACGACACAACAAAATACAAGAAAAAAACTCATTCATTCATGTTGTACAATAAGTGCCGGCCTACATTTATTTTAACTGTCAAAAATATATATTTTGTCTGTTTACAACTAAAAATATTTATGAAAAAAAGCCCTCAAAACGTATAAAAGAAACAAAACTTGTGCTTTGTAGACATGTCATCATTATTTCTATTTCATTCTTTTTGTTTTTTTTTTTTTTTTTGTTAAATTTGTTAAATTAGTTTTAGTAACAAATGCATAAGTTTCCTTTTCAAACAAAAATAACCGAAATTATTGTTATTATTTTTTTTTTTGCATTTCAATATCAGTATTTAAAATTGTTGTCTTTGGACGATCATTCCTTTTAATTTAAATGAAAAACTCATCAAGAGAACTAACTCTTTGTGAAAATAAGAATGTTGCAAATTTATTAAGTTACATATTTATTATTTATTAAAAAATTTTAATAATAAATATTTTTCTACTTATGAAACAATTTTAATTTCTTTTAGAACGGGTTCAGACAGGGCCATTTAAGATTATTAAACATAAACCATTTACTACTACCAAAAGGTTTATGTTCAATTACTTCTGGAATTCGTTCTGTGGATTATTGTAGCGATTTTAAATACTTCCAAAAAATTTTAAAGAATCGTTCTTTGGCACTACCCAGGAAAAACTTACATTGAAAAGTAATTAGGTAAAAAGCTAATAAAACCTATCTTCACTACTTCTTCGTTAGCATTTTTGGAGGCAAATACTTCCACGCTCGCTTACAAATAGGGAATTAAAGAAGTAGTTGCAATTTCTCTTACAAAGAAGTTGTTTTGTTTTTTAATAATAAAAAGAGCCAGCGAGAATACGAACCAGGGACTTCGGTTTGTTAGTCAAATGTTCTACTCACTGCGGCACTGCTTAGCTATTTTATTGCGCGTCAAATAATGGTTTTCACATTCAAATTTAATTTTGTTTTCTTTTTTGTAAAATACAATTCTTAACACGCAATTAAATTAAATGTAAAAACAAAATGACAAAGGCGAAAATAAATCATATTAAAAGAAAGTCATTACTAGAGTACTTCTAAGTAATGCAGTTGGTAAGTAAGTGGTTATGTAAATCTTCTTTAGAACTATTTCAGAGGGCAATAAAATTCTAACCAAAATCATTCATATAACTGGTTATAAAACCGTTTCATAGAACGAGTGTCGATTCCGTAACGCTTACAGAGAACGTCTTTGTAGAAGGAAGAAGGAGTACATGGTAGTGGAACTAGTAAGCATTTTCTAGGTATTTGTCGTAAATTTTAGCTTATACAGAAAAATATTTAAAAATTAGTATGACATTTGGTTTGATCCATTTCAGCATTTTTTAGATTATTATGAACCTTATAATGCACTAAAAGTGGTTTTGCGGACCAGAAATACTCTATAAAAAAATTAATTATTTTTCTCGCTGTAAGCTCAAAATTACGGAATTTTTGAGACCTATTTCGAAAAGATTGGAGAAATTTTATTTAACATATTGTACTAAGATCAAGATTTTTAATGAAACAAAAATGTTTCATGTTTTTCTCGTATTTAGTACATTAATAGTCATGGTTGGAGAGGTATTCGTAAAAGAAGTTCCTAGAAATTAGGAAACTGAATCAAATTTGTCTGCTTTGTTGTAATTTTAATATTTACAACAACACATTTCTTCGTAACGCAAATCTTAAAATTGCCAGGGACTTTAATGTATATAATTAGATTAAAATTAATTTATAAGTTTATTCAAACTTTAAACTGAATGCTAAAATTTAACTTACCAAAATTTATTAATTCCGTTGTTTAAAATAATCCAAAGGAAACTTTCTCAAAAGTCAAATTTGTCAATAGTTTTTTTTTATTAAAGTAATGTTAACTTATTTATTTTTTTTCACTTTATGTTTTTTTTAATTTTTTTACAATATTAAACTGTATATTTTAAACACTGTATTTTTAAAATTGTATATTTTTAAACGCTCTTTTATTTAGTCTTTTTAATAACAAGTCTGAGAGTCATAAATCAAATTGTGAAAATACCACAAGAGAAACATAATAATAATTCAACCAACACATAATGTTTTAACGACGGCAGCAGGTTGTAATTTTTCCGATAAACATTTTGATATCAAATTTTCTATTTTTCGTTTAACTGCTACCAATTTAAATGTGAGTTTTTAAAAGCCGGTGTTGTGGAGGGAAAACAACGTACGAATGAAATGATGAAATAAATTCGTTTGGAAAAACCGATGATCAGTAGATAAAAATTGCCGTCGTTGTGTGTAAGAGAAAGAATGTTGTGTTGTGATGATCATGCAGACACACCAACTAGAACAAGAACAGATGATGTTTGCTGCAATTCAATTCAATGCTTTTTCAACGATCATGCAGGATGTTTTTCCTCTGCTAGAGATCTTGTTCTTGGTCTCTTTGTATTTGTATTTGAAATAATTGTTGTATTTAACACTGTGTATCATAGAGTTAAAAAGAGTTTTTAATTTAAGGTTTTATTTGATCATTCGTTGTGTGTGTTTGTTGAAGGTTTAGTAGATTTCATTTATGTTAACAATTGTTGTTGTTTAGTTGTACGGTAGAGAGAATGAGAGTATGTTTAAAAGTGTTGTAGCGAAAAAGTCAAAAAAGGCCATAAATTTTGTCAAATAATAACAATGTTGACAAGTTTTACACTTTTTGTTATAATTACTATGGTTGTTGTTGTTGCTGGTAAAGGTGTTTTGTTGTAGAGATTTAAATTCAAACTCTCACACACACTCTAACTAACTAACATGTGTTATTGTTAATAACAATTTGAAATAATAATGATAATAATTTTTAAAAATGATCCCTTTTTGTGTACAACTTATTTTGCACTTGATTTGCTGTGTTAATCCTTGACTTTTAGGGCATCTATATATTGTTCTTCCGGTTCATGTATTTTGGCAAATTTTAATCCGTTTTACCTGTTTGTGTTAAAGATAAATTATTCTGTTAAACGCCAAATTTTCATTTATATTGCACTTGTTTCTTTTTGTTGTATTTATGTTAAAATTTATTTATGATTATTTTTTCATTTTGTTTATTTGACACACAATTAAAAGGAATACAATTTATTAACACTTTCAGTTGTTATTATAATTGTTGTTGTTTGAAATTTTTAATTTTCTGTTAAACTTTTTTATTTTGTTTTTTTTTTTTTCTTTTATTTTAATAATAAATCATCGACATAAATTTCATGCTAAATTTGCGATCATTCATCAGCGAGAAAATTCATTTTAATCGCCATCAATAAACCACTAAAACACTTTGCAAACCATACATCAACATGATTTTATTTTTATAAAAAGACTGACTGACTGAATGGCTGGCTGGTGAATTCATATATTCAGTATAAATAATACAAATATTGCACTCACTTTTTGTTTAATTATATATTTTTTTAGTTTGTCAACAAACTAAATTTAAATAAATGTTTTGTTATTGTTGACGCTTTTTTATCAAAATCCAAATTTTATTTAATAATTAATAACTTTAGTTTGTTGTACTTGTTGTTTTTTCTCTTTTAAATATAATAAATTATTGTTTTTGTTAAATTAATGTATTTTCTTTATTTTTGTAACTTTCTTTTACCCGCGTATACGTGCTCAAAGCGCCAATGTTTCACTTTGACTACTTGGTTATAATTCAAATCAAAAATATCAGAGCATCAATAATAAAAAAACTAAACAAACAACAACAACACCAACCAAGTAAACACACACACACAATCATATTGTGAGAAAAAAGAGCTCCCTATTAAATGTACATTAAGCTTTTTTTATAATTTTCCCCTTGTTGTTGTTTTTGTAAGACTTCTTTATTGGCAAGAGAGAATAAACATTAGTCTTCTTTTTAGCCAGCAAGCGTAAAAAACAATACATTGAATATGAAACAAACAAAGACAGCTAAAAACCAATAAGACCATCACTCACCCTATTGCTGTCTCATTCGCTCTAACAGCAATAAAGGGGTGGCCATTTATATTGTTTACTTTTGTTTTTCTTTTTGTTTCTTCCGTTTCTTGAATTTCGAATATGGGAGCTATTTCCCGTTTAAGTGAGTGAACGTATGTGTGTATATGCGTACATGTGAGTTTGTTTTTAAAATGAGAAAAACTTGTTTGTGATATTCGAATTTGTTAGGTGTTCTCTTGTAAATGAAGAGTTTATTCGAAAAAAGAGAGACAATTTTCGAATATTGTCACACGTACACTGTCTGTGTGTTTTCTATTTTGTGATCTTATTATCAATGAACATTGTTTTTCGCATTTTCGAAATTAATTTACTCTCTTGTTTTCAATGTTAGATATTTCGATTTCTAATAAATTTGTCAAACATGTTTAAAGTAAAAATAACATCTTATTTTCGACTGTAGGCTGCTGCTCTATTAGAAAAACCAAAAATTATGCCAAGTCCTTGTTTATTAGAGAAATATTTACTTTGTTTACCGTTTAAGTGCTTCAAAGAAGTTGTGAAAATGATCTATGACATTTTATTATACAAACGATAAAATATTTCAAACTATTTTTCACTTACAAGAAAATGTACTTAAGTTAAAAATATTTTTCAATAAGTGGTATTTGTATGTCAAAATTTTTAAAAGTTTAATATAGTACATGGGGATTTTTTATATCTCAATTTTCTTTATGCACAGAATTTGAAATGATGCAATATTGGCGTTTTTAAGCGCTATAACTATTTTAATAGTTTTGATCATAGATTGGTCACTTGCCAAGCAAGCGTTCATAAATATAGTTGCAAAACTGAGTGTTTAGTCATTATTATTTTGTAAATTTAGCTGTTTAATAAAACAAATTTCACAAAACTTTATTATGACTCGTATCCATTTCAAAACAACTTATGTGTATTTCCTATAGCTATAAAAACATATTTGCGGCACAGGGAACAGATATAAAATTCTCCAACAAATAAAATGACATTAAAATAGGACTTGTGCTCTTTTGCGAAATGACTGGTTTAATTCTGTTAGAACATTTTAACATTTATTATGCTAATAAGACGCAATAGACGGAAACATACACACATATGTATGTATAATTTAACTAATCTGTACACAGTGGATTCAAGTCTGGACTCTAGAGTGTTAAAAAATATTAATATTTTGCGACTTTGCAATATAATTTCTTTAAAAATATCAAAAAATCCTGGATATAAAATCTTAATTTTTATAGGTTTTTTTTTTAATTAAAAAATCAAGAATAAAAATATATTCACTTATTTTAAAATTTTAACTTTGAGTGGTTTGTTTTTAAATCATTTTGGTAAAAAAAAAAACTAGCTAAGTCTGGCAACATTAACTTTATATTTGTTTTCTAAATTATTCGATTTTGAATTCATTTAAACTATCCAAAAATCATTATTTTTAAAGCTTAATAATGTAGCAAATTTTCATTGTACACATAAATTAATGGAACTAGTTTTTATAACTTTTCATAAAATATACATATTTTATAAAAGGTTTATAAATCAAATTTTGTAAAGAAATTTTGTGTTATAAAACTTTTACTGAATATGGGGGTAAATATAAAATATTTCAGTTTTAATAATTTTATGATTGCGACGATAAACACCGAATATAATGGAATTGGCAAAATTTAATTTGTCACACTTTTGCCACAAATGAGCGTTATGTTTTATGTAGAAATATATTCGAATACAGCGTGTTAACATCTACACAAATATTATTATTTTTAAAATAACACAAGTCAACAAAATCGAACTTTTTGCGTACCTTTTAAATAAAAATAGCTAATTCCTAAGTATTTCCACCCGCTCAGTTCAAAAATCGACATTAAAATTTTAGGTTAGCACTATTTTTTGAGATACAGTGCGGGCTCGATTTGCACAACTACCTATTATTGCAACTGACCGATTTGAGCAACAGCCTATTTTTAAACATTACTGTCTTTATAATAGCAACTTTTTACAAAAAATGCTCGCGATAAGTGCAACTTCAACTTTTTTATTGCAAAAGAAACATTTAGAAGTATGTTTTTGATTTATTCTATTTTCATTAACTTTGTTTTTCAGTCAGTGTAATTTAAAATGATTTGATCAGTCATAGGCACCTAAAAAACAGAATTGTATATCATGGCCAAATTTATGATAGAAAATAGAAAATTATTTTAATAAGAAATATATTACTTTACAGTTATTTTTTCTTTTATTGATTAATAAATGAATTGATTACTTAAACATCAATTAATTGCTTGTTTTTGTTAAAGAATTATATGAAATTGTATGGGATTTTAGTGGTCGATCATTGCAACATTTCGCAAATTGCAACAACTCCGATTTCTTTTCGGTTGAGCAAATCGAGTTCGTACTGTATTACGATTTTTGTACAAACATTATTTACGACACTCTTAGGAACTGAATCTAAACAGACTTATCTTTCTAAAGAGTATAATCATGATGGCAGTTATTGCAATATAATTAGAGTGTCCTGCAAGGAAGTTGAAAAATGAGCTAGTTTTGTTTTATCCTTATGACAATAATTTGGGCTGAATTCTACCAACACAAACTAATAATAGCATTTTTCAATTCAAATTGGAGAGACGTTTAAAACGCAGTGAAATATTTCGGATTCAATTTAACTTTTCTTTGTTATTTTTACATACTCATGAATCCGAAATATTAAACAATTCACGATCGGCGCGTAACGTTGTATAGTTGTATGTCGTAAGTTTTCATTATTCTTTTAATTTTTTGGGACAAAATTGTTGTCTAAAATTATAAGGATGAAAAATTTTACAATTTTCAACTTCGATGCAGGACATCAAGGTATCCTAAAATAACTGTCATCTTGATTATATTCTAATGTATATAATTTTGTGTCGATTACCATCTTGTTAAACAACTTAATAAATATTGGTACGGTTCTGAGAAATTAAGTAAAAATACTAAATAATGTCTTAAATAACTTTTCTACAAAAACCACAATATATCGGAAACTAGAGCTAACATAACAATTTTTAAACTAAGCGGGTGGAAACACATAGGAATCAGATATTTTTATTTAAAGGGCACTTTCAGTGTTGTTTAGTGTAATTTTTAAACAAATCGAGGGATCTGTTAAATTAAACCAGATTCAGATTGTAGAGATTAATATGTTTCTCGGTGGGTAGAACCACAAAGATTCTATGGGGGACTCTAACGAAAGCAGAAGGAGAAACCTCCTCAAAATGAGCAACTCTAAGGTTAGTATGATGGTACGTGCGGATTCAGTTGGATGTAGAGCATGAACAGTGAAACTGTGGAGCACTTTGTTTGCCATTGCCAGATTTTTGCCGAACTTAAATCCAAATATCTTAGGAGAATTATATCCAGAGAACTGAGTTTCTGACCATCGGAAGATAATACATTCAGTGAATACTTTGTACGGTTTTTGTTTTACCATCAAACATTTGCCATGAAAAGGAGCGCAGAACGGGCCCGATATTCGATATTAAACATAATATATTTATGTATTACCGACATAAAATGTATTTAAGACTTATACCCCATTTACACTACAGCGAAATCTAGGACTTATGAGATTTTGAGCAAATCCAGTGGATTTTTACTAGATTTCCCATACAAAACAAACTCTATTTCATTAGTAGATTTCGGCAAAATCTACTCAAAATCTATTAAAAATAGAAATGCAACTCTGTTGTTTGCCAAATAGTACTAAAAAATACGACGCTTCAATGACAATTGAAGCAAAAAATGGAAATAAACTAATTTTACAAGAAAATTTCCTACAAATCGAAAAACATGAATGTTTTGCAGGTAAAATATAACGTGATATTTAAATGCCGAATTATGTACAATAAGTAAAATACTAATAAATATTTTATATTTTTCACTATTTTTAAAATTAAATCTAGCCAATATCAAAAAAGTGAAGTGTAAACGATCTAAATTTTGAGCAAAATTTTTAATCTAATCTACAAGATTTCGCTGTAGTGTAAATGCGATATTAGCAAAAATATTCCTTATGTTCCGCAAAATGAAATGTGACCAAAATAAATCTATTTTTTGTAGAACACATTTTGAAACTTGATAAAAGTGGAATGCATTTTTAAGAATTCCAAAAAAAACAAAAAAAAAAATGTTTTAAGATATTTGAAACTGTTTGCAATACGTTATTAAAAAATAAATTTCATTTCTAGAAAATTTAAAGATATCTTATTTTCCTTTACTGCATGACGGCGCAGGAAAAATTAGAATTACATTACGGAATATAAAACACGAACTTTTAAGTATATTTGCTCTTAGTAATCCATAGTTCGTTTGGAAAAATTTGTAATGACAAGATTACAATTCGAAAACCTCCATAAATTATATTTAGTACCATAAAGATAAAGAAATCCTTCGAAATTTTTGTCAATTATTAAAAAATGGCATTTGGCTTAAATTGTTTAGTAGAAAAGCTACAGGAACACAAACTTAAAATATGCGATTACCTCAACAAAATTTATTTAATTTTTTATATTTTTTATTTCAAAGTCTGTAGATTTAAAATTTTTTCACAGGTTTTTAGTTATTTCTGATAATATTTATAATTATTTAATTTATTAATAGAAACATATTTTCACTTTAATATTCTTTTAAT